AAACGGAGGCAGTAGTAGTAGTAGTAGTAGTAGCTGTCATAACTCTCACACCTTAGCCAAAATGTGGGGCGGGGCGGGCCGGGGCGGGGCGGGGCGGGTCGGGGCGAGGGGGCATGACGGGATTTCATTACCATTTTTGTTGTCGGTGGTGTAATTAGTATGAGGACATCTTACGAGGCCAACCACTGTACGGTAGAATCGTTTGTGTGTGTGTGTGTGTGTGTGTGTGTGTGTGTGTGTGTGTGTGTGTGTGTGTGTGTGTGTGTGTGTGTGTGTGCGCGCAAATAAAAAACAACCTGGTTGATCATGCTCTCACCTGAGGAAGAATTCTTACCCTCAGGTTGAAGCTCTAGGGGGGGGGAGGGGAGGAGAGTTAAGGGTTGAAGCCTTCCCCAAGATCGACATCAGATCGATATTATCTGCAGAGATTAGATGATGAGACAAGGAGCAGTGTTGTCTTGACAGTCATAACACACACACAGACGACGCTTGATTCTGGCCTCTCAGCTGTTGGGGGATTGTGGTAGCCAGCTGACGATCCATACCTGCAAACTCCAAAGGTGTGGTGGTGGCTGGTTCTATGCTGCTCAAGGTATGACCTCTGGCTTTTAGCAGGTAGGATCCACAAAACACAGCCACTACCCGTCACCTCCCTAACTATTACTTTTCGAGATCAGGTTTAAGTTCTAAAAAACTGCGGAGCCAGAAGTGACCTTGATACGACCTACATCGACACAGATTAACTGAATGATGATGATGATGGTTGGTAACTGCTGGCTGGTCTGGTGGTTGATAGGTAACAGGTGATTGGTGAGTGTTATGTATACCTTAAAGTTACCAACTGTGGCTGTGGTCTGTACGTTGTGGGATTTGGACATTGTTGAGTCACTTACACTCTCTCCTTCAGTGTGTGTTGTTCTTGATTCCATTGATCCTGCAACATCCTGGGGAAAAACACTTGCAAGACTAAACCCTCCCTTCCCTCTGCTCTTTATGACTAACTGCTGTGGCTCGTGTAGGGGGCGAGCAGGTAACGTTATATCACGGCACGAGTTCGCAGAAGACAATATTATGGAATCGCCAATGAGGTCGTGTTCGCCGCGGCCTGTAGGTGGACCCCATAACTTCTAAGGGGAGAAATGGCGACTTTTCTTGAAATTTGATCAGAGATATTGTACACACACACACACACACACACACACACACACACACACACACACACACACTTACCCTCCCTCTACTCCACCTTCCCTGCCCGCCACCTCTCTTCCCTCTCACCTCTCAGCGGTCACGAACGAATTGACTAATCAACATGATTCGATTATTTCAACGAGAGGGAGAGAGGTAGGGAGGGAGAGAGGGAGGGAGGGAGAGAGAGAGGGAGGGAAGGAGAGAGGGAGGGGATGGACTGAAGGGCATTTGCGAGTATATCACCCATTTGACTTCCAACTAACGCAGGCCCAGGTAGGTGATTGCATACCTGTTGCTTCACACACACACTGCACCAGTTCTGTCATGATCTCACCTGGCTCGTCATGGGCGTGGTTCCTGTTTCCGTCACCATGGGGGTCTGGACCGTATATGGTGTGAGCCTTTGTGTTTGTGCCAAATATGGATCTTCTTGTGAAATAAAGCAAGAATTATCTCCTGATTTTGATATTATGTTTATTAATATTTTTTACCCCGTGTTCTTGAATTTTTTTATTTTTACATTTTTAGTATTATTATTTTTTTTTAGTATTGCCATTATTGTTATTGACTCTTGTTAGTATTATCATCATCATCATTACTATGAACGTTATTATTATTATTGTCTATGGCTCCTCCAGTCTTCCCGCCATCCTTTACTTTGATATCCAGAAAGTCACCTCACACACTACCCATTCTCCCCACCACCCCTCCTCCCCATCACCCCTTCTCCCCATCACCCCTTCTCCCCATCACCCCTTCTCCCCATCTCCCTCCTCCCCACCACCCCTCCTCCCCCTCCCCCTTCCCCACCACCCCTCTCCCCCCTCCTCCTCCCCACCCCCACCCCCTCCCCTCCACCCCACCCCTTCTCCCCACCCCTTCTTCCTCCCCATCACCCCTCCTCCCCACCTCTCCCTCCTCCCCACCACCCCTCCTCCCCCATCCCCCTCCTCCCCACCACCCCTCATCCCCTCCTCTCCCCATCACCCCCTCCCCCTCCCCACCCCCTCCCCTCCCCACCACCACACCCCCCCTCCTCCACCCATCACCCCCCATCCCCTTCTCCCATCACCCCTTCTCCCCACCCCCTTCTCCCCACCCTCTCCCCCCTCCACCCCTTCTCCCCACCACCCCTTCTCCCCATCACCCCTCCTCCCCATACCCCTTCTCCCCATCACCCCTTCTCCCCCCTCACCCCTCCCCCCCACCTCTCCCCACCCCTCCCCTCCCCCATCACCCCTTCTCCCCATCTCCCCTCTCCTCCCCCTCTCCCCATCTCCCCTTCCTCCTCCCCATACCCCTCCTCCCCTACCCTCTCCCCCCCCTACCCCTTTCTCCCCCCCCCTTCTCCCCCATCACCCCTTCTCTCACCCCTTTCCCCATCACCACCCTCCACCCCTCCTCACCCCTCTCCCCACCTTCTCCCCACCACCCCTCCTCCCCCATCCTCCCTTCTCCCCATCTTCTCTCACCTCTCCCCATCACCCCTCCTCCCCATCCCCTCCCCCACCCTTCTCCCCCACCACCCCTCACCCCTCCCCCTCCCTACCTCTCCCCATCCCCCAAGCAACGCTTCGCAGTAAATGGAACTCAACCAAGGATAGTCAACAAAGAGACTCATATGTATTTTTGGTCACAGACAAGAGTTCCTTCCTCAGTGGCAATGAAGGCGACCCCGTGTTATACCCCGTGTTAAATTTCTCTTTTTACGACACACGGGGTTGTAAATTACACGTTGTCTGTATTGTTTATTGGGTCATTATCTTTGATGTAAACAATGGTATGGTTTTATTTTCTTTGATGTAAACAAGGTATTTATTATTTTTTTTAGGGGCTCCATATTTATCTGTAGACAATCATTAGTTGTTTACTGTTGTTGTTTATGACTTTAAAGGTAGGATAATTTACGATATCTAAGCATTAAAAAATTTACATATACTTTATTGTGTGTAAATTGAAGGCGGCGTGAACTTTACTGTTATGTTAATACTCTTTATTTGTGTACCTGATGACCGAGGCTGACCAGGAGAGTGGGAGGAGTGGGTGCAGGGGAGAGGGAGCCTTGACCTAGCGACCCCTTGAGTGGGCGTGTTCAGTGTGTGTCCAAGTCTCTTCATCTCTTCCTCGACCTCCTTCTTCCCACACTTTTCCTACTTCTTTCCTTTCTCCTCCACCTCTCCTTCCTTCCTTCCTTCTTTCCTTCCTTCCTCATCTCTACACCCTTCCTTTCGTACACAACTCTCCTTCTTTCCTTCCTTCCTCCACACCCCTCCTAAGTCAAGGTTCACACACACACACACACACACACACACACACACACACACACACTTGTGCGTGCTCACCGTCAGGAGGAGAGAGTAATTACCTCTTGTCGCCTTCAGGTATTACCATGAGACACACACCAAGCATTGTCACAACACCTTGACCACAACTACATTACCCTTCAACTGTGTCTTGTGTGTGTGTGTGTGTGTGTGTGTGTGTGTGTGTGTGTGTTTTGTGGTATTCCCGCTCCACCTCCAACGTCACCACCATCACCACCACCACTCACCACCCCTACCAGTCTCCCACACCACCACCACCGTTAACTCACAGTGAACACCTCCCAACATCAAGGCTGCTGTACTTACTCCAGGTCCCCCAGCAGCACCTTCTCCCCCGTCTTTGTAGAGAGGGCCAGGCAGGCGACGGGGGTCTCTGTGCTAGACGTCGCCTTTCCCAGCTCACCCGCCTCCACAAAAACCCGGACCGTGAGTTTTTTATGTGGTGGGCTCTGGAGCTGGAGTTGCTATGGCCGCTGCCTCAGGAGTGTTTAGGGGTCGTCAGAACTATAGGGAGTGTTCAGGGCTTAAGCCTACTGTATTCTTCATCATATTTATGTGAGATACCAACACTGCTGTTGACTACAGGAATACTGTAGTCAACATTTAAAAGAGTATTTTTGTATGGAGAGGAAGGGAGCAAGAACTGAGTGAGTGAGTGAGGGTGGGTGGGTGGGTGTGGGTGTTTGTGTCTTGTTTTAGGTACACCAGGTGCAAAATATAACGTATAACGTCACAGTGTTTTAAGTGTTAGTACAGCGCCGCGGGTTGAGTTCTCCTGCCCGTGAACTCGTCTCTCAGTAGTAGTGGAAAACTTAAGCTGGGGTTGTCGGGCCCGTGACCACTTGTTCCTCGCAGTTGAGACTTAAAGCCTTCGCTCTGAGAGTAGTGATGATGATGATGTGTGTGTATGTGTGGGGTGGGGGGTGTTAGTGCAGCGGTGTGTGTGTGTGTGTGTGTTGAGGTTCCTGTGCGAGGTTTATCAGTTTTATCTTGCTGTAGGTCGTGCACTAGGCTGCTAGGCGACCACCTGACCAGTTGTGTGGACACCCAAAACCTGGAACTAGTTTTGTATGTCACTTTCCTATTCTGTAATTGGGTATTTTCCCACTTTCTCATTATTCCTATTTCCCGGATTCAAGATGCTCCTTACAACTGATCCTCTATCAGGCTACCGAGGCCCCAGCCGCTATCAACAAAAACCTCTGACGCACGTAAGGTGGCTCAGCACCTGTGGGTCCACAACCTACACACAACAAAAACGTTCCTTAACAGACTATGGAGATAATCTTAAAGTTATGTATGAGAGACTCTGATTGATGCTGTGAGAACATTCTTCAAACACAAAGAGAAAATACTTGTGATTATTAAAAACAACGTAGAAATTTCTTTCGTAACTCTAATTTAGGTTGTCTTGGTAACGTTGGCAACTGTGGTGGGCGGAGCACCGAACGCTGTGCCCGTATAATAAAAGGAATTTAAGTGAGCTGTTCCAGTCATTGGTAGGTGAAGGTGAGGGTGTGAGTGTGGAGGAGCCTTTGCACGCCGACGTCTCAAAAATCAACTATCGGATTAATAAGTCGGACAGGTGTAATCCTTTATTTACTGGAAAGCTTCACACATACCTGTCTTGTGCTGGAAAGTTTCTGTCTTTACTCGTAAAGATGCAGTCTTTGGCATGAGAAACGTATGTGTGTGTGTCACTCAACAGTTCACGCTCCTCACCTGGAAATCATCAAGAAAGTCATGCAGATCTGAACGTTGTCTGGGCACAGTGTACTAGAGGAAGTGCCGCGAGTGAGCGAGAAACAGTGTAGTGCCGGCGGTGGTTGTGGATCAGCATCTGTGTCAGCCGGAAGCGTTTAAGTCACCATGGTTGGGGTGGTGAGAGATGTAGTGATCCCCGTGAAGGGAGACCCAGTGTTCACCATAGTATGTGAGATCCTGACGACTCCAGCACCTGAGGAGGAGAAGCCGCACACGACGCGGTTGTGGAAGGTGAGCTGCCGCGACACAAGTTCCCCCCAGCACCCTGCCGCCACCAGCAGGCAGTACATGCTGAAGACGGCGGACACGATGGGACAAGTGTGTTGCTATTCCTTGTGTGTTACCGATAATCTGTAGTTCTGTAAGGTTGTTACGGTAAGGGAGGACACATGAACGGAAGGGTTGGTCATGGGAGAGTTCACCCGCCCAGAATTACCGTAGTAACCAACACAGAGCCTCTCTCACCTCACCAGTGGGTCACCAGAGACCGGCTTCTCACGAGTTCATACAATAGATGTCGTTCCTGTAACTTGAGAATAATACAACACATGTACTGTAGTTAGTCATACTGCAATTCTGAAGCCATTTTGGTTATCCAGCTTTTCAGTGGTATAGAGATGAGTCAGTCAGATGATTCACATCATTATATGCTTAAGTAATTATCGTAGGAGGCTTTGAGGACCTGGTTAATGACTAGTTACTGATGAAACAAATGTGTGTCCAGTGTAAGGAGTGTTTATGGGAGGTGGCGTGGCAGAGCAACTCGGTCTTGGTTAGGCTTAGCGATACATTCCCAAGTAGAGGTTCCCGCTACGGCATGTCCGGAGGTGTGGCAGCCTTAACTACTCGCTAGCATCAATTTGTATCATTATCCCGATAAACATAAACTGTAGTTACTGTATTAGTATTATTTATTTATTTATTTACTGAGTATTCGTTCAATTGCAAAGGGGACGCCTTGGTGAATGAATAATTACAACGATGAAAGAACATTGTTCGTTTGTCGCTGAGTAGCAAGTTTTCTGTTTAACGGACGATAATTTTTCGTGTCCGTATTTCTCCATACATAATGAGACGTAGGAATAATGTGGCGTCCAGTCCTGTTAGTTATTGTTACATCGTGTGTGTTTGTGTGTGAAGGCGGCTCGCGTTGCCCGCAGGTCTTTCTGGCTGCTGTCCAATCCACCCTCCATTGTTCTCCCTCACGCATTTCAAAGTTCCTCTGGGTGCTATGAAGACAACGCAACTGTTTTACGTGAACGAGAGAGAATCTGTATGCACATTGCTCCTCCTCGATGGCCATCGTGTTTTTGCCCCTTGGCCAGGGCCGCGCACGACTAACTGGTGTGGTTTATTTTTTCAAGTGCACGCCATAAAAACTCACATTATCCCTCTTGCGAAGTCGAGGTGGAATGTTTGGTCTCACAACCTAAGTTGTCATCCTTGTAGGAGCAGCGGGGACCCACCTTCCTGTTGACATTTAGCGTAGGTGGTAGTTTTGGTGCTTATACTGTACAGCAGACGGAGGGGGGTGTTAGTGTTGAGGTGTGAGTGTCAGGGAGAGGACGGTGGACCCCAAGCTTACTGTGGCCTCCATCACACTCAGCCACAGAACGCCAAGTCAGTGTCAGATTGTCTTGAAAGTTGTGTGTATGTGTGGAGGACTGTTGGAGCCATGTTGGGAGTGTTAGGTTCAGTGTGTTTGATGCAGTATATTGCAGGTGTGATGTATCAGTCTGCTGACAGTGTTATGTCAGGATGGATGTAGTGAAGACCAGCAGGTACAGTACTTGGGAACCGACAAAGGACTCTCCAAGGATCAGCGCTGTGTTACTCAGTTATCATCTCCACAAAGAAAATCGTAAAGTGTCCTTCAAGTTCCTCAAAGAGTTTGAATACAAAAACAAAAAATGCGGTCACGGACAAACTCTTACTTGTGACAGTAAATGGTGCTGAAGACACGAGAATGACAATACAAGGTGTGGCCGACAAGGTGTGATAGACACCCACACAATGTACCAAATCAAGGTGTGGCATACAAAAATTGACAATACACGGTGTGACACAAGATGACAGATGGCAGTAGTTCTGTGACAGTACAAGATGTGAAAGGGTTGGCAGTAGTGTAGTGTTACTGTGAGGGTGCAGGTGTTGTGTTACTGTGAGTGTAAGTGTAATGTTACTTAGTTCACAGGGAAGAAGAAAGTTACTGTGTGTGTGTGTGTGTGTGTGTGTGTGTGAACCATTCTTTATCTCGGTGTTGGGTGTTCCACTAACCAACAGGATTAACACACAGACCAGGGGGAAGGAAAATATTACAACGGGAGAGAAATAATCACACATTGTTGTCTCCAGCGTTTATGGCCGTTGGTATTGTGTTCCTCTTCCTCACCAAACCTAACCTAACCTAAGACACTTCCACCTCTCCCCCATTATGTCGTTTGTTGTCTAATTTACAGATCAATGTCATTCCGAGATGTTGTTACCGCCAGTAGAATATCACGTGTACAGTTCAACCTTCCAGAGAAACTGAATGATTTGTGTCGTTGTTGAAGCGTTAAATCAGTGGCATTATTTTGGTTACGTTATATCTTACACTTTCGGTATTCAGAGACAAGGTTCAGTTTTCTGCTTCAGCTTCTTGTTTGGTCTAAAGCACAGGCGGTCGAGGTGAGGGTTGGGGTGAGTTAATGATGTGGCGGCCTCGACATACTAGTTATTATTATTATTATTTATACTGTGTCAATGGCCAGTTTAACATGTAATGACAACTCCTGACTGAGAGGTTTGACGTACACTCTTAACACACGTCTTGAATAATTAAGGAGATATGCGGTTTTCTTCGTAATATTGCAGTTACGAATACAGCTGTTTTCCGTATATCTGTCGGTCCGTGTGTGTGTGTGTTAAGGTTTCCGTTACTAATGCTTATTCATAATACCTGGTTCTTGTTTCGGTGGCAATAAGATGTTGTTGTTCACTGAATGTTTTTAGACCAGATAAAAAAACACACACAGAATAACGGGTTCTATTTTGGTTCGCTGTCACTGTTAGTTGGCATGTATAGGACAGTGTAGTACAGTACATTAAGTGTTATACTGTACTACCATGTCAACTAACTGTGTTAACTTACCAAAATATGACCCGTTATTGTGTTTTTTATTGTTGTTATTATTATTAGTAGTAGTAAGGGCTAAATATCATTAATATTAAGTAGTGTTTATTCAAGTGATGTCGTGACTATAATGTATAACAAATGTTGATAAAGTGTTGTACTTGCAGATGGCGTCGGCGTGGCGAGTCATTTCCTTCTTCGTGGTGGTGTTCGTGCTGCCCACCGTCCTCATCTCCCTGCCTCTGTACGCCCGCTACCACCTCTACCATGCCCGTAACGTGCCCATGACTGAGACCGACACTCGCGCCCTCAACCATGCCGTTTCGTCTTTCTGGTGCCAGGTACTGTACTACTTTTACCTGTTGTCTCTTAGTGTCAGGTACTGCTACACCTTTACCTGTTGTCTCTTAGTGTCAGGTACTGCTACACCTTTACCTGTTGTCTCTTAGTGTCAGGTACTGCTACACCTTTACCTGTTGTCTCTTAGTGTCAGGTACTGCTACACCTTTACCTGTTGTCTCTTAGTGTCAGGTACTGCTACACCTTTACCTGTTGTCTCTTAGTGTCAGGTACTGCTACACCTTTACCTGTTGTCTCTTAGTGTCAGGTACTGCTACACCTTTACCTGTTGTCTCTTAGTGTCAGGTACTGCTACACCTTTACCTGTTGTCTTAAGTTACACAGTTTACAGGATATAAGGCTTCCATTGTGTACTTCTAAAATAAAAGTCTTGTGTTAATGGCTACAAAGAGTATTAGAAATATTCCATGTAAAGGTTTCATATCTTGATACACATATATTTATTGTCCATGTATAATTTAGATAATTAAAAACTTTTAATTACAAACAAACGAACAAACACTGTAGAACTCCCTGCCTCGGTGTTTGTCTTCTGTCATGCAAGTTTAATCAACTCAAAATATCTACCTTAGAGTATCTTCAGTAAGGGGACGAGGACCTCTGTGAATAGATTTGACAGCGACACGTTTCTTCTCTTTTGTGGTTTACTGTAAAGTAAAGCTTAATGTGAGGTTTATGTTTGTGTCATCAATATTTCTCTACTGAAGCCTCGTGGAATATGTAGACCTGTCTCTGTGTTAGTGCAGTGTCCTCTCAAGTTTATCACCATCGAGCACTATACAACGACCTTGACACATCTCCCCAGGAATATATTCATTGAAATCTTGTCAGGCTATTGAGAATGCCACCGAGTTGACATAACTTTTGTGATCTAGTCTTTAGGGGATGCCAATTATTAGCCCCTTCAGTATGATGACTTGACCACTTGAGTGTGATGACTACGGTGTTATATTCAGCGGGTTAAGTCATCGCATTGAAGGGGTTGTGAATAATACACGTCACGAAGGTTGTTAACTCGACAGTTAGGCTGAATACAGTAATTGTATAATGGCGTTAGTCATCACCGGAAGTGTTGGACAGATATTTTGATGGATTTAAGTTATCTTATAAGTATTCTGTGCGCTACTCCCGCTGGTATGCAATTATCCCACAAAAAAATGACATTTCATTTTACTGTAAACTTCGTGCTTGTATATTTATTTGTTTACGATTAACTATATACAAGCAAAACTTGTCTGAAACTGTTCATGGCCGTGCTGCTGAATATCTCAGGTGTCAACTCATTTCTTACGCTACACAAGTCATGTTCTTCTCATCAGTGAGGTTTTTAGTCATGCGTTACATGTGTTTGGTTTCCAGGGTCAGCGTGTGACCAGCAATGGGACCTTGGATGCCTTCAAGGTGGCGGGGCTGCCGCGTTTGCAGGAGAAGAGGCGACATGTTACCCTCAAGAGGAACCTCACCCTTAGGCATGATGACATTGAGTACTGGGGCGTGTACCTGCTTGAAGGCTCCTCCTTTGCCCTGACCTCTTCTGCTAGGTAAGTCTCACTACTGCCTTCACCTTATACACAATAGGCTGAGGTAGGCAGAATTCTCAGCATAATAATAATAATAATAATAATAATAATAATAATAATAATAATAATAATAATAATAATAATAATAGCTGGTCTTTTTTTTTCAAAAGCATCAGTTCTTCTAAAGAATTCACTAGTGCTTGAAACACTACTAAGTTAAAGACTTGAGAATAAAAATAAATACGGTACTACAATAAAAGATCATACAAAGTGACAGTTCGACATTCATATACCCTTAAGTTTTAATACTTCCTAAACCCTGTAATACTCCATCACCGTACAGTACCCTGTTCAGGATCATAAGCTTTAAGGCCTTAAGTTGTTTCTTAAAGGCCTCCACATACGTCAGCTGCTTCATGGATGCAGGCAACTGATTGTACACTCTGGCTGTTGTATAGGAAAAGGATTGGACAGCAAACGAACATTCCCGCACTGCTCTAGGCTCCTCAAGGCGTGAAAATCATTTTAGAATGTGTAGTCAGTGGAATTAGTAGGGTGGCCAAATGCTGTACATAGGCTCACCAAACATTAGTGTCTTAAAAGTCATTAGACAGAGTTTGAACATTATCTTAGCTTTAATTGGAAGCCATTGTAATATGATCAAGAAGGGGTAGTGAGAGTCCTCGGTGGGAGAGCAAATATAAGCCTGGCAACCCTGTTTAACGCTGTTGGTCTTTGTTCAGTAGATAATTAGGTAGGCAGACCCATAAAGAGTTACATTAGTCAACCTGAGACAAAATACGTGAATATTATATAATGTCACAAGACACTGTCTATCCCAAAAAATTTAACAACATATAAATTTGTTTAACAGCGTACTATAGATTTCGAATATGAAAGTTGCAACTCTTAATTACTGAATTTGTGTGCTTTTTAAAGTCAGTTTAAGAGCCAAAGTACATTCCAAGATTGCGAACAGAATCGTCAGGACTTCTGTTTCCTTGGATGACAATAATCTAGGTTTTGCCGCCGTTCAGCTTACATTTTCTCCTAATCATCCAATTCTTAATATCACACATCAAGCATTTCGTTATCTCCAGAATATCATCAACAATATTAAGACAATTAATTACCAAAATTTCAAAATTTCGACCACGGATCCTTAATCAGCATGTCGAGGGCGACCAATACTGAGATTTTGAACCAAATATCAGTATAGGTTGTTTTCGGCGTGCAGATTAGGGATCTGTGATCAAAATTGTGAAAATTTTGATTATTTTATTGTTTAAACATTCCCATTAACATTGTGTATTTATTTTTTATACTGTTTGTAATGTTTGTACATTAATGAAACTTGTCACATCTGTTAAAGATCTGTCGTTATAACCGCACAATTTAAACCAAGTTCACTTGTGCAAGAACCTTTGATTTATAGACTGTTTATCAAACAGGTTTAATTAATTTTAATGTACTGTATTTACAGATGGCCTGGCGGTGTTCTTCTGGTGGTGCAAGGTGAGGAGAACTTACGCAAGTGTTTCTACCGGGAGAATCGTTTAGAAGAGGAGCTGAACGGCAACAAGCCAGCAATGAACAACGTGTATAAGAGTCCATATGATGTGGAAACCCATCCTGTGACAATGGAGGAGGAACGACACTGGGAGGAAGAAGATGTGGGAGGTGAAGTGTTCGATGATGATGATCATGAAAGTATAAGTAAAGTGAAGGTTGCGGAAATCCAGCTTGAAGATGGCGATGATGAGGATGATGATGATCTTGATGATCTTTTACCAGGTCTGTCTGATGACAAAATACATAGGCACCATAAATATGACATTGTTGAAAAAGTAGCAAATGCTCCCATGAGAAAAAATGGTAAAGGAAAGAAGATTAAGAATGGGAAGAGTACCAAACGTAATAAAAAGGAAATCCAGCACAGACGTCCTTCAAGGCCGAGGACCAGACTCTGCTCCAAGTCTGAAACTACGACACTTCTTAAAAAGCTGGACATTTTGCACATGTTTAATGACACTCTGGAGGTACAAACTGGCAACTCGTCATTTTTGCAGCGAGGAGTTCTTGGAACAGTGTCGTGACTCCATCTTGACAGTGGATCTTTCTCCTTATATTGACTGGCAAACACAAGTCTCGGTATTGAATACAAGCAGTCCTGATTATTGGACATTCAACATCAATGCTTCTGACTACTACTACTTCATATTTACATCTGACAATAGCATCGAGCTCAATCATTTAGGGTTTAACCTGGAGTTAGAGCGAAAAACTTACGATGTCAGCTCTGCGTTAGAAAGTTGCCTTAATTCCTCCGATTGCGTGTTTCCTTTAGCATTCGCTCAGACCGAGGCAGTGGTAGTAGAGATCTAGCAGCGGAGGATTTAAGGAACTCCATTCCTTCGAGGTGATTACCACTTGCCAGCCTCGCGTCCCTGTCTACATGGTCTTCATCCTTCTAGTGCCATTCATCATCCTCCTCTTTGCCTTCCAGTGAATTATTTAAGTGCCAGTCAGTGATATGATAAATATTGATTATTGTTTGTCTACTACCAAAGGTGGTGCACTGTTCATTGGTGTCTGTGAGAGGGCGGCTTTAATACAACTGCCAGTGGTAAAAGTAATAATATAAAGGCTTTTCATTTACTGCAGGAAATATACAGTATTTCTCAAACGAGTAGTGTAAACTCTGCCCCTTTGACAAATGTCCACCTGTGTGTCACTAGATTGAAACACACACACACACACAGTTGTTTAGGTCACCACCTGTGGTAAGCATGACATTGGTAGGCAACCCAAGTGGTGGGATATACTGTAGTTACTGACAGGTTACTCCTACTGGCAGCTTGACCCAGCATCTACTGCCCTCCTCCCACGCTTATACTAGTCATTTCCCAAAAGAAAAGACATACTCGAACATAATCAGATGCGTTTTGTGATTTATGAAAGAATAATTGAAAAGACAAAATGTAAATATGGTGTTTTCCTCGTGTGCAAAGTTGTGGTGTCCCTTGTGAAGACTGTGGATATACTACACCAAATAATGACACACTGAGCTCTGGTACCGTGAGGACACTTAGTTGGGTTATGACACCGTTGCTGACGTTGAGTAACTGGACTAACGAAGTTATAGTTTATCCTTGTCGAGCAAATGAGTGTTGTAACTGTGCCATGGTCCTGTCTCGTGCGATGTTAAGTTTCAGGTGAAATTCCAGTACGAGCTGTCGTCAAGCAATATTTTGTTGCTATAATGTAATTGTTGTGTTCACCTTGCTTCATTACTGTTGTATCCACTGTTGTGTGCTGATGAAAATGTACACTGTATATTTGTATTAGGTTTTATGTAAGCCTTGTCTGCAGTTGTGGTACAAGTAAAACATAAAACTGTACAGGAATGAGAGTTGTGTAGCAGTGTTATTTATAGTGGTACTGATCTCCCAGCTGGTGATGGTGCTTGGTGCTGACACGAGTGCCACCTAACCTCTGGCCGTGACATTAGCAATTGGGTTTTTTTTACTTTTAACATTGACAGTAACGAATTGTAGTAGGTTATAAAATTGATGCTTCTTCAGTGTTCCTATGACAGGCGATAAAGTGCATTTAAATTTCTGGCTTTCATATGTCAACAAACCTTTGGGTTTCATTCACTATTATAAAGGAAATCTTATAATTCGTAATTATCTGATGCAAACAAATGTAAAACTTGTTTCCTTATTGTCTTTAGGAATGTAACTAAAATTCTAAGTAGTCTTCATAAATTTTCAAGACTTGTACATTAATGCATTCCACATTTTGAAGTGTCTCCTGGTGTGATGGTATAGAGCATTTTTGGCTAAGGTAAGTAAGGTTTAGTGTTACATGCAGTGCCCAAGGCCAGTACAAATGTATGTATGTATAATTATGTGGATTACAATATTAATGATTCAGAATAAAATCATTTTCTGTAAGTTATTTTGTACTTTGCTCACATATAAATAAAATATAAGATATTTTATATAACCATTAATAACAAAATACCTCCACCTCCTACACACCCCCCCACCTCCACCCTCCCTCTACACCTCTCCACACCCCTCCACCTCTACCCCTCCCACCTCCCCACTCCTCCACCCTCACCTCACACACTCACCTCTACACCCTCCACCTCCACACCTCACCTCTACACCCTCCACCTCTACACCTCCACCTCCCACCTCCACCTCCCCACCCTCCCACCTCCCCTACACCTCCCTCCCACCCCCACCCCTCCCACCTCCACCTCCCACCTCCCACCCCCTCCCTCCCCCCACCTCCCACCTCCCACCCCTCCCCTCCCCCTCCCACCTCCCCTCCCCCACCCCTCCCTCCCCCTCCCACCCACACCTCCACCACCTCCCCTCTACACCCCTCCCCCTCCCTCCCCTCCCACCTCACACCTCCCACCTCACCTCCCTCCCTCCCCTCCCCCTCCCACCTCCCACCACCTCCCTCCACCTCCCCCCTCCCTCCCTCCCACCCTCACCTCCCCACCCCACTCCACCCTCCCTCCACCCTCCACCTCTCACCCTCCCTCCCACCCCTCCCTCCCACCCCTCCCACCTCCACCTCCCCCTCCCCCTCCTCCACCTCCCACCTCCCCCTCCTCCACCCTCCCCCTCCCACCCCTCCACCCCTCACCTCCATCCTCCCTCCCCTCCCTCCCATCTCCCCCTCCCTCCCCCTCCCCTCCCCACCCCTCACCCCTCCCCCACCTCCCCCTCCCCACCTCCCACCTCCCCCTCCCCCTCCCCCTCCCCTCCCCCCTCCCTCCCACCCTCCACCTCCCACACCTCCCTCCCCCCTCCACATCCTCCTCCCACCCTCCCACCTCCCCACCCTCACCTCCCCACCTCCCCCTCCCCACACCTCACCTCCCCACCCTCCCTCCCCCCCACCTCCTCCACCTCCACTCCCTCCACCTCTACACCCTCCTCCACCACCTCCACCTCCACCTCCACCCTCCCTCCCTCCACCTCCTCCTCCACCCTCACCTCCCACCCCACCTCCACCTCCCCTCCCCTCCCCCTCCCACCTCCCCCTCAACCTCCCTCCCTCCCACCTCCCCCCTCACCTCCCCCACCCCTCCATCTCCCACACCCCTCCCCTCCCCCCTCCACCTCTACCTCCACCCCCTCACCCTCCCACCTCCCACACCCTCACCTCCACCCTCCCTCCCCACACTCCACCTCCACACCCTCCACCTCCACCTCCACCTCCACCTCCACACCCTCAACCTCCACCCCTTCACCTCCCACACCCACTTCCACCTCCACCTCCCACCCTCCCACCTCCTCCTCCTCCACATCCTCCACCTCCCACACTCCCTCACCTCCCCCTCCCACCTCCCACCTCCCTCCCCCCTCCCACCTCCCACCTCCCCTCCCACCTCCCACCTCCCACCCTCCCACCTCTCATCCCCTCCCACCTCCCACACCCCTCTTCCTCCCACACCTCACCTCCCCACACCCCTCCCCACCTCCACCCTCCCCCTCCCCACCCCTCCCCTCCCCCTCAACCTCCACACCCTCCCTCTACCCCTCCCCACCCCTCCCCCACCCTCTCCACCTCCCCACCCTCCTCCCACTCACCCTCCTCCTCTCACCTCCCACCTCCCACCCTCAACCTCCACCTCCCTCCCACCTCCCCCTCCTCCTCACACCTCCCACCTCCCCACCTCCCTCTCACCTCCACCTCCCACACCTCCCACCTCCACCTCCCCCTCCCCCTCCCCTCCCCCCTCCACCTCTTCTCTACCTCCCCACCTCTACCTCCCCTCCACACCTCCCTCCCCCCTCTCCCTCCACCTCACACCTCCCTCCCCCTCCCTCCCTCCCCTCACACCACCTCCCTCCCTCCCCTCCACCTCCTCCCCTCACCCCCTCCCCTCCTCCCCCTCCCCACCTCCCCCTCCCTCCCTCCACCTCCACCTCCACCTCCACCCACCCACTCACCCACCTCCACACCTCACCTCACCTCCACCTCCCACCTCCCACCTCCTCCACTTTCCACCTCCACCCCTCCCCTCCCACCTCCACCCCTCCACCCCTCCCCCTCCCCCTTCCCCCTCAACTCCCTCCCACCTCCACACCTCCACCTCCCACACCTCCATCTCCCCACCCTCCACCTCCCCCCCTCCCACCTCCCCACCCCTCCTCCTCCCCCTCCCTCCCCTCACCCCTCCACTCCCCCCTCCTCCCCACCCCTCCCTCCCCCCTCCCTCCCACCTCCACCTCCCACACCCCTCCCTCCCCACCCTCCACCTCCCCCCCTCCCCTCCCCCCTCCCCCCTCCTCCTCCTCCCTCCTCCCACCTCCCCCCCTTCACCTCCCACCCCTCCCCACCTCTACACCTCCCACCTCCCCACCCTCCACCTCCCTCCACCTCCACCTCCACCCCACCTCTCCCCCTCCCACCTCCCACCTCCCACCTCCTCCCACCCCTCCACCTTCACCCTCCCACCTCCCCACCTCCCACCTCCCCCTCCCACCTCCCCCTCACACCTCCATCTCCCCCACCTCCACCTCCCACCTCCCACCTCCCCCACCTCTCCTCCCCACCTCCCCTCCCACCCCTCCCACCCCTCACCCCTCCCACCTCCCCACCTCCCACCTCCCCCTCTCCTCCACCTCCCCTCCCACCCCACCTCCCCCCTCACCTCCCCTACACCTCCACCTCCCACCCCTCCCCTCCCACCCCTCCACCTCCCCTCCCCTCTACACCCCTCCACCTCCCCCCTCCCTTCTACACCCCTCCCCTCCCCCCTCCCACCTCCCCCTCCCACCTCACCTCCCCTCCCCCCCCTCCCCTCCCCCCCTCCCCCTCCCCCTCCCCTCCCCCTCCCCACCCCCCCCCTCCCCCTCCCACACCCTCCCCTCCACACCCTCCCACCTCCCCACCCCTCCACCTCCACACCCTCCCACCTCCACCCTCAACCTCCCACCCCCTCCACCTCCCACACCCTCCCCCTCCCTCCCACCTCTCCTCCACCCTCCTCACCCCCCCACCTCTACCTCCCACCTCACCTCCCACACCTCCCACCTCCACCTCACCTCCCACCTCCCCTCTA